CTAAACAATTCTAAAGTTAACACGCTAGTTCATGATGCCGAACAAAATGATACTACTCGAGTACACTTTGGCGCGTAATTTTTGAAAGACCCCTACGCCACAAAAACACAACTTCGGCACCTACCCCCACACAGATAGTATTCCTATTTACCGTACAAAACACAAGAAGGTAGTGGTGGGAGGGGGTTTCTATGTGTTTGAACGCATGCGTTAAATGGCTCGTCTCCGTGTCGGTTGGCCGCACCACTTTGGTAGTCCTGTACGTGATAGTTGGTGGGACTATATCAAGTAAGGTGTACTGGTATGTGGGTGTTCTATAGAGTTTTCATACAGATGCTGTCCTCGTGTTGCCGCACACTTGTGTCCTGTACGTCTTTGTGCTAAGTAGTCCTGATGGATTGTGTGACTCTCACTTGTGCGCTATCACTGTTGCCCCCTTTCTTGTAATCTATACTTTCGACTATATTAATTCTCACAATATCTCTGCTTTCTGCCAAAACGACTTATTGAGGGGACTCTTAATGTCTTATCCTTTTGAATTTGTTCCTAAAATAAACTCCTTTAAATAATCGCTATAGGACGCCTGGGTCGACCCCGCATTCGTGTATCGTCGTGTTTATCAATGTGGACTATTTGGCAATTGTGAATTTGGTATTCTTGGACCTCCACTGCGTCGTACAAGTGTTGTGTGGAGGAAGGGGAGTCGCCAGATCGTCCCCGACAGTGAAGTTCAATATGGAATTAAAGTTGAGTAATAATCAGGACTGGCTGTGGGTTTAGTGTAAAAGACTTCCAGTACACTGGTAACGCCTACTGGAGTACAAAGTTAAAACGTCGGTAGAAGGACTGACAAAAGAGGTGTTCGATTGAAGTCAGACGGTCGATTAAACGGGGAGAGACGGGTAAGGACTCCTAATTTTCCATTCTAGGTAGTGTTAGGTATACCAACTTTATAACCTATTGTACAACAAAACGAGCTTATATGTTAGTAACAAATCTGAAAAATAAAAAATAAGACACGCATTTTTCTTCGTCATTTAATACACACACTGTATCTGCAGTGACGTCCGTAAATCTGATTTGACCATTCTTTTTATTCACACACTGGATATAGGTGTATTTTTGAACAGTATTGCTAGTCAAATGAATTAAGTTAATATGAGTCATTATATAACTTACTATATATATATATATAATCGATCGATCATTGATCATTATTGATCAATGAATATGATGATAGATCGATCGATGATGTTGTACCGTTCCAAATCCTTGATTTGCAGTACACGTGAAATGGAGTGTCGACCTTTACTATTAAAATGGCACGACATCCATTTCACGATGGTTGCAATGTACTACTGTAGTCGACTTTCAGTACTAATAAAGGTATAAAAGAAGAGATCTTACTTGTCTTTTATCTTCCCTTACCTCTGTTCCTGTAGGTCTTAGGACCTTTATTTAGGACCTACCTTTGCTTTCATCACCTCCCTAATCCACCACTCATACTTTCTACTCTCTACTCCTTAAACTACTAGCTGACAGAATCTAGGACTAATAGTCCTCCTCGGTAATACTCTGCCTTTCGTTGTATCCCCTTCTCCTTGGTGGAGTTGGTCTCCCTCTTTCTTGGAAGGATATACTTCTTGGAGGCTGACGTCGTAGGGTTGACAAGAATGACCGTTCTTTCTAAGAATACGCTTTTTTTTCGAAAACTTGTGGTCTGGTGTTGAAGTTCCCTCTCTCCCAGGTTGGAGGTCTACTTCGAGGGTGAGGGGACGTCATGAAGTCCTCCAAGTACATGTCTATCTCGGTACCCCACACCGTTACTACCTCGTTTTGGTTGAAGATGTCGCAAGTTGTGGAGACGGGGTGGGTGTGTCTTGCACGTCTGGTGTCATTTTCCTCGACCTTTAGGATTAGCCGTACATGGACGCGTACCCTGCAAACGGTCGAAGGTCTTTGGCGCACAAGATCGACCCTTTGCTGCTGTGTTCTAACGTACCAAACGACTGTTGTACAGTGCGCTGGCAAAGGTCTGGGAGGAGTGTAGAGAGTGAAGTGGCTGTTGCTCCGAGGTAGGTTGTCCCGTTTTTTCCCCTATTCACGACCCCTTCTAGGCAGGTACCAACTGTATAATCCATCGTCATCCGAACCTTTCCTATACATCCTACTCCTGACCCTCCTCTTCTCCTTGCGCCTTCAACAACTCTAAATCAACAACACCTTATTGATTTTTATAAGGACCACTAATAACTGTGAGACAAAGTGCAGATGGGTTTACCAAGGTATATGGTCCGTTGTACAAAAAGATAACAAGTCTAACATGAAAAGGACGACAACTAGACCTTTATTAAAGATCGGACTGTATACAAAAATAATAATACATGGTTCACCGTAACCTTACAACTATTTTTATTTTCAGTCGATGTAAGAGTCAGACTAATTAAGTGACCTGTCCACTACTCCGACCAGAAACAGACAATCCATGACAGTAGAAGTAAACGATTTTAATTAGTGACTCTTACATCACTGAAAAATAAAAATAGTTGTAGGTAGCGGTAACTATTATTTTTTTTTTACAGCCGATCTTAATAAAGTCAGTTCTTCCTTTCATGTTAGGACTTGTATCTTTTACAACGACCATTCTAAACCTGGTAAACCTTCTCACTTTGTCTCACGTATTAGGGTACCTATAAAAATTAAGGTGTGTGTATTTAGGAGTTTGAAGGGCAAGAGAAAGGAGGTCAGTAGATGTGATAGGAAAAGTCGGATGACGATGATACAGTTGCCGTACCTGCCCTAGAAGTCGTGATAGGGAAAAACGGACAACCTACCTCGGAGCAACAGCCACTTCACCTCTCTACACTCCTCCCAGACCTTTGCCAGCGCACTGTACAACAAGTCGCTGGTACGGTAGGACACAGCAAAAGGGTCATCTGTGCCAAGAGGACCTTCGACGTTTCAGGGTACGCGTCCAGTTTACGGCTAATCCTAAAGGTCGAGAAATACAACCAGACGTTGCAAGAAACACCCACCGTCTCCAAACTTGCGACATCTCCAACCAAACGAGGATAGGTAACGGTGTTCGTAGAGTAGACATTACTGGAGACTTCATGACGTCCCTCACCTCGAGTAGACCTCCAACCGGAGAGAGAAACTTCCACACAGACCACATAAGTTTCCGAAAAAAAGGCGTTATTCTTTAGAAAGAGACCGGTCATCTTGCACCCTACGACGTCAGCCGCTTCCAAGAGAATCCCCAGAAAGAGGGAGACCAACTCCACCAAAGGGAAGGGGGATACGGCGAAAGGCTGAGTATACCGAGAGGACTATTAGAGTCCTAGATCTGTCCAGTAGTTTAAGTAGGAGTAGAAGTAGGAGTGGTGGATTGGTAGAGGTGAGTGAAAGCAAAGGTAGGTCCTAATAAAGGTCCTAGAAGACCTACGGAACAGAGGTAGGTGATAAAAAGGACAAGTAGATCTCTTCTTTTATACCTTTTATTAGTACTGAAAGTCGACTACGTAGTACATTCAACCCATCGTGAAATGGATTGTCGTGCCATTAATAGTAAAGGTCGACACTCCATTCACGGTGTACCTGCAATCAGGATTTGGGACCGGGTACAACATCTGCCATCGATCGATCTATCTCATCATTTATTGATCAAATAATGATCAATATCGTCGATATATATATATATATATATATTGTGTTATATAATACTCATATCTAAACTTAATTCATTGACTAGTCTATTACTCGTTTCAAAAGATAACAACTTGTATATTCCAGGTGTTGTCGACATAAAAAAATGGTCAATATCAGATTTACGGACCGTCACTGCAGATACAGTTGGTGTGTATAAATGAACGAGAAAATGTGTGCTCTTATTTTTTATTTTTCAGATTTGTTACTAAATNATATGAAGTGTAATTAGAGTGTTAAGAGACGAAGACGGTTTGTGAAAACTCCCTGAGAAGTACAGAATAGGAAAACTTAAACAAGGATTTTTATTTGAGGGAAATTATTAGCGTATCCTGGGACCCAGTGGGATAAGACATAGCAGCAACAAATAGTTACACCTGATAACCTTTAACACTTAAATGGTAATTTGACAGGTTGTGGTCCATGTGTAAAATGGGTATAATAACAGTGTAATTATGGTGCAATATGGGTGTTGTATTGGTTTTACATGGGTGTAATGTAAAATAAAAAGCAACCAATTAATTTTCTAAATATTTATATGGGAATGCCCATTTAATGGCTTAAACCACAAATAGATTTTTTACATTTCTAGTTGCAAAATTAAACTCTTTACAGGCTAGCCGTTTTCCCCCTACTTTTAGTATTTATGGTGACTAATCGACAATCACCAATCTCTCATCTAACTCTCACCAAGAAAGCTAATAAAATAATTTCTCAAAAAAATGATATATTTATTTTAAGAGTTTTATTTGCCATATTAGCATTTCCCTTCATGGCACACAATGCATTAGTCACTTGTTTTTAAAAACAACACTTCTGAATCAAACCCAACAGTGGAGGGTCTGCATGTGCAACAAAGATAACAGAGTGTGAGAGACAAGCACAGTTTTACCAAGCTAAATAAACTTTGATCCAAACAGCGCAGCAGAGGCTAACAGGACGCTAAGCCATGGAAATTCAACTCTGCAGCAGTGAAACAATTAAAATGCTGCCTAGGAAGGATCACCAAAGAGGCAACAAAAAAGGCCACCTAGCCCATGAACAATGGGGCTTTTCTCTCAACTCGGCCAGCCTAAAAAATGGCTTTGTTGCCAGAGATACCCCTTCACCACTATCTGCAAAAATCTGCCTGTGCCTGTAGCTTTGTGGCACGTGCAGTCTACAAAACAGCATCCATTAGCTTGTGATAACACCCACACATATTATCAGCAGACAAGTCTTTGGTTACATTTCTAATTTAGTACGGATAACTGTTTTGTTGCATCTTTACAGTGAACATCACTAAAAAGACTGACCTCGTCTCCACTGGCCAGCCGGTGGGTGAGCTCCTTCAAACTTCGCATCATCCGCTCATCCCTGAAGTCGTACGGGAACGTTTCCAACCACTCAGTCAGCAGCTGGAGGATCTTGGGAGCGATCTTTCTGACTCGTATCTGAAAAAGTGCAAGATAACCAAATACATTTGACTAAACAATAGGGAAAACCAAGGTTAAGGTCTAGATTTGTTAAGTAGGAGTAGGAGTCCTGTTGGAACACAATATTCTACAAATTCCTAAACTTCATGCAGAAGAGCTAGAAATTACCTTGTCAGCTTGGGAGTCGCTGAGTCGTTGTTGCTCCATGCAAAGGTGACACACCTTCGACATGAGTTCGTGTGGGCGGATAAAAATACGTGAGCTGAGCAGGAAGGTGAAGATGAATGTCCTCTGTGGAAATAAAAGATACAACATTTACCACAAAACTAACTGCGTGATGTTAAATTTAATGTTTTAGATTTAAAAATGGGCTATTAATCAACATGAAATTAAAATGTTTAAATGAAGAACACAATTTAAAAATTCCAAGGAGGGAGAATTACAACTTTGAATCCCTGTGGTATGGAAAGTAAGAAAGAAAAATATGAGTAAGCCACTTTGGCATCAACAGGGTCAAGACAGAACAAAAAGAAGAAATGCTATACTTTTTAACTTTGATGAGGCAGCAAAGAAAAAGAAAAACACCATTGGTAAAAATAACAGGAAACAAAATATAAAAGCAATACTCACATCTGGATAATAGTCTAAAGTTGGGACCAGGTGGTGAATGAGGGCCTCCAGGGACCCAGACGTTAGGTTGTTGTCATGATAATAGAGGCCAGAATAGCCTTCCTCTTTGGTCTGGTACATATTCTTGTTGTAGCCGCTGGTGTTCAGATGCCCCGTGAACGGTGGTGTCTGAGGCATGTTGTCCTGCAAAGAGAAAGAGGACAAACACAAGAACGGTAAACCACCACGCTTCTCCGATAGATATCTCACCGCAAACGCTGATGCAGAGTGGCCAGATAAATCCAAAATAGCTCTCAGACAAAACACAGACGGTAAAAGTTTGGACGAGGTCAGTAAACACCCTTCCGCCTCTGGATCTCTGCGGTTTCTGGGTTTGCATTTGGTTTATTTGGAAACACCAATGGTTGACTAAAAGTCTAGGGTTGAAATGCAAACTGTGGTTGAGTCACAAAAAGCATGAGAGAAAAGAAACGTAGGATGTTCATGAGTGAGCCATACAATGAAATCATTGAGAATAGACACTTTTAAAAACTTTGAAGTGAGCTGTCCACGGAATTTAACTCGCCAGAACCGGTTACAGCCAAGTGCAAGGCAAACTTTTGAGCATCATCTCATGGGAATAAACCGTTAACTAAAGGAAATAACATAATTCTCAGAAAACAAACCAGATCAAGGTTTTACATTTCACATATACTTTCTAGAAATCTGTATTGGGACAATACATTTATTCAGAAGGCCGAACTAAAAGATAGTTGGCCTCATGACGTCAGGGACATAATGGAAGTTCTGTGTGGAAATGCGCAGACAGAGATAAGGACATGCAAGAGATGTAGCCCTGCAGGATGTCCTGACACTTGGTTTACCCTGAAATCATTTGGTATGATCAAATTGCTTGTTTACTTCCACTGCTACCACGTGCGTGTGCGTGTGCGTGTGTGTGCGCATGTGTCAATGAGGCACAACAACTCATGATGTAGGGAAGAAAAGCATCTTCCCTACATCATGAGTTGTCATCGGTGCTAGGGTCTCACTAGCACTGATCAAAACATAGCATATTTTTGGAGAAGTTGTTAAGAAAGTAGGAATGATTTGTAAGCCTCAGTAAACAGACCTACTTTTTTACCGAATGAAAAATCTTGAAAACCTTCAAGTATCAATCACAGTGTATTTATATAGCCCAATATTACACATGTTTCTCAGTGGACTTCACAGTTTGTACAGAATATGAATAGGACACCCTCTGTCCTTGGACCCCCACATCGGACAAGGAAAAACTTCCAGACTTGATGTATTCGGAATCCGGATTAATTTATTCTTTGATCAAACTGATTTGAAACTGTTTTCAAATATTGTACAGTATAAGATTAGGCATAGCTGTAGTCTGCTTGCATGTGTTCAGACATTTTACATTTGAGAACATTTATATCATTGGTCAAAGGAAAAAGGTATTTTGCAAGTACAAACATGTTCATAATTCTCCCATTAAGTTACCAATGCAAGCATTGTTTGATGGAGGATTTGTTTATGATTTGTTTCAATGTTTCATCTTGCATCAATAATATTGGATCCTTGATCATTGTATGAATATATCAATCCAGATTTATATATTGTTACAAACATTGTGTTGAACTGAGCAAAGGTGCATTTTGCGGCTCATTAGTTTCACTTTCCATTTGCAAGAAAAGGGAACCCTCAAACTGCCAAACATCTTAATGTCATAACTTATAAATCTCAAACTGGTCCTCACAAAGATATAACAACAAGCTCATACACACTTTCCTCTGTCAGCCTCCTGACCTCTGAACCTGGCACTTTGGCTCAATCCAAAGCCAGGCAGACTTATGGCTGGGGAAACACAAAGGCCTTTTCACACAGAGAGGGGGTCGCACAGGGTGCAACCACCCCACACCCCATCACAGCCCTCAACACCTCCTGCCTTCTGGACAATATGCCACCCTGTGGCTGCCTGCAGAGTCAGGAAGCCTTCAGGAGCTGCCAGGGACGGGTACCGTGATGCCAGGAGGAATAAAATGCACCTGCCCACACACTGCCACAAGGTTCAAGACCATTTAGGGTTTCACCGTCCTGTGATGTAATGTGGGTAGCACAGGCGGCTTACATAAGAAATAAAATAAAATCAGAAGGAGTGAACATCTGCTGAACAGACCGGAGGGGAGATTTACAGGAACTATTTACTAGCTTTTAACACCTTGACACAGAAGTCCTGGGGCCTCATTTATAAACGATGCATACGCTCCAAAAATGGCGCACGCCAGTTTCTAAGCAAGCGATTTATAATTAAAAAAAACTTGACGGGAAAATGTGCGGTCCTCCACGCAGACCCATGCGTACGCATTACGCACAAAAAAACGGGAGAGACGAGAAACTGCGACACCGTTGGCAGAAGGAAGAATGGAGAGAAATATGTGAAAATAATACCATAAATAAAATGTTACCTCATGTATCATATATGAATAATTCATTCGCAAAAATGTATTGAAGCCAATCTTAAAATGATTAAACAGACGCCTGTTTGAGACTCCTCAGTGCACACAAAAACATAACTTGGAGAAATAAATATATACGGATATGTTATTGAAAACCACCTCGAATATGTTGTCTTAATGTTATGACAATGCGGTATGCAGAAGGACAGAATTACGTCCATTTTGCATTTCTATTGGTTGTTATACGAGCATGGTTTATACTATCATGTTTAATCATGTGTTATGCCCTTTGCTAAGACTTGATAAGTCCCTCATAAAACACAGGAGGTATGGAAACTAAGAACACCATATATTTGGTAGATTTGGCAGCTGATATAACTCAACACTTTTGTTTTATTTCCTTTAACTGGTGGATATAGAGTTGCTGCGGGGGGGTTGAGACGCACAGGCTGCTGTGGAGACGCTGCGCACAGCTGATCGAAAGCTGATTGACAGCTGGAACACAAACCACCAAATAAAAAAATAAACATGAATTGACTCCACTCCTCAGGGATCCCCCGACTTTCTTACAGTTTCTCATCAAGGGGGGGGTCTCCTGTCCCCGGCACAAACACACTGACACACTGCCTGAGGAAGGTTATGTGTATTTTGTCATTCACTTTTTTCTGACCACTTATTTATTTATTTTGGTGACGATCAGACCTCCATGCTGTTACTCTGGTTCAAACTGCATCCACCAAACAATGATTTATCTCCACCTCCCCAAAACCCAAAATAACCAAAGTCTGACACGTGTGAGATGTTTTTTTTAGCTGTTCCGTCGTCATTTCCTGCGATCTTCTTCATGCAGTCAGTCTGAATGAATATTAATATGGGGCATTTCTTTGACTATTATAGGCAAATATGCGTTACGTGTAGCCCGCAAAAGCTGCGCCGCATTTCGAGTCGATTGTGATTTATAAAGGGAAACGTCCTACGCTGATATGCAGTGTTTTATGAATCAGAAAATGTCTGTGCGTATTTATTTGCTTTGTCCTACGTAAGCAACCTTCCCACGTGAATCCTACGCAAGGCTTTATAAATGAGGCCCCTGAGCTCTAAAAATCACAAAGCACCGTTATGTGTTCTTTGACCGCTCACTACAACTACCCAAACTAGCCCTGTTTATTCATATGTTGCCTTAAAGCCTCCAACCACGAGACAAACCTCCCAACCCTTTCACTTTCACACGCATGCCGGCCCATAATGCACGCATGCACACACAGACCATCGCTATTATTCAGACAACCGTGGGCATTTCCATGAGAAAGGAGAGTTTGAGGAGTCAGAGCAGCGGCCCGAGCATCTGCTGCACCATGTGGCTCCCCTGCAGATAGAGAGAGACTGCAACATCATGAGTCTGGTGAAGGGATAACCTGGAAACTGTATTTGGACCTTTGTTTACTCCACTGAGGGTTTCTTGCTGAGCCCAAGTGCTCTTTTCTTTGACGCACGGAACCACAAGTTCTTACTTGGTGGCATCTAAGTACAAACAAATAGATGTACTGTCCACAAAGCAGCTTCACATACCACTGGGGGTTCAGATGGAGAGCACATCAGCAGCAGGTGATGGAGGACTGAGAACAAGCATCATTCACTTTTCCCAGCTGGGATGTAAACCACCAACGGCCCTTATCCCACACTCGCTGTCCTGATCATTGATGTGGGGGTCGTTTTGGTCAGACGGAGAATTAACAACAATTTTAACACTGTAATTTTTCGTAAAACAATATTATTTCTTAAAAGAAAGTTGAAATGTTAATCAATTCAGAATATATACAAATAATTCTTATGACATCCTCCAAGTGTGGTTTGCTGGGTTTTTAATTAAGGGAAAACTGGAGCACTTGTGGAATCGGGAATCTGTGTTTTCCAGCATAAGTGCACTCCTGGTTGCTGCCCTACTTTAACATTGGCTCCAGTTTTATCATCCAGTTCAGTTTGACTGGAATTGATCTCAAGAAGTCTTACTAGTTGGCGTTTTTGCAGATCTGTTGAGTCCAACTGCTCAAACCCACACATACTCTAAAAGGGAAGTGGACCTACACATGCGGTGAAAGTTGAATTTAACCTTCAGTATAGTGACACCAATCTTCCTCTAGGATGTCTTTGAAAAGGCACTCCGTTTGGATTCATCTTGTGCTGCCAGGGCCATGTGGGCCTCACAGATAAAAGCTGTGTTGCTAATACAAAGAAAAAAATGATGTCTTCTTCCCTTTGTCTCCTATAGTTGAGCAGAATATTTGCCAACCAGTTCATGTAGGTCCATAGAGAGCATTTTAAACCCAATTTAAAAGACAAACCTGTGCATGTTGTATTGATTGTACTTTACTCTTTGTATCCATATAGCGCTTAACATAAACTTAGGTTAGAGATTTCTTCACGAAAACTAAAGAAAGACAGATAATGAAATGAACCTGTACTTTGAAAGATAAGGGACATGTATGGCAATAACTAAGACCCTATTTACAGACCTAACGCCCCTCTCACACCAACACAGTTCCCTTTCTAGCTCCGTGCTAGAGCTTTTCCGGTTCAGAACCGGTTATTCTTTTCATCCCCCATTTTGTTCACACCGCCCAGAGCCCGACTGGTGCTGCTGCATCATGACGTCACTGTTTACATCGCTGACTTTCTCCCCAATGGCGTTCACTACAACAACAATGGGGGACTGCGTTGGGTCGATGATCGTGTTGCTTTTAATCATACGAAGCCAGATTAGATTAAATAACGACTTCTCCAAGCTTATACTTTTCTCCGGAGTGCCGTGGTTCATTGTTTATTAATGTGTTTCAGCGGCATTTACCGACTGCTGCAGTGCTGGCTGCTCTTCCACCGGAGTTTATACTCCCGTTAACTCACGTGGCAGTGGCCACTGTAAAGTATTCACTGTCTGACTGTCACACAAGCAGCTGATACATATCCCCAATTCCCCTTAAGCGAATGTGTTTCAGTCTGAATTGACGCTGTTATGAAAGTTTCTCTGGTATAAATTGGGTGATGTTAGCATAGCAACCGAAGCTAAACTGACTATCTTGACTACTTGTTGCTATCCCATTGTGGCATAAGCCTTTTTCTACAGGCACATTTTACCGTGATGTATGCGGTTCTTGCTTCTAGACCGACAATTTTTTTGGGTGCTTGAAACGAACCGGATTCCGGAGCTTAGAGGCGGCTCCGCTGCGGTGTGAACATGAGAAAACTGTGCTTTTCAGGCTCTAGCTCCGAACCGACCCTGGAACCGCGTCGGTGTGAAAGGGGCAAAATAAATGCTAATTGGTTTGCAAGACGACACCACCACTGTTATCTCCGCATTAGATCCAAAAGTGTGTGTTCTCACCAGCTGCAGCCTTCCCCCTAATCCTAAACCCAAAGTGCAGCATGCTTACAGGCAGCAACAACTGTGTCACAGGTATATTTGGCTTCCGGGTGGCGTGTTTAATAGTAGTAGTAGTAGTGAGGAAGGGTGGGGGTGGG